CTAAGTAGGTCAACTCAAAAACATATGAGCAATTAACATTTAATTATCGTAATGTTATAGTTCTGGGGAATCATTCCAGGTAGCTGGATCGTTGTTGAACAGAAAATCAATATCAACCTTCATTGACCGCAACGCACTTGCTGAAACTGATGTCACCAGCATGTCCAGAGATTTCTTCTCTAGACTTTCAATGTTCTTTAATTTGATCAACTTTTCAGACCAGTTCTCACCGTGAAATTTCATGTTGGAAATCATTTTTCGCTTCTCTTCCGTTTTAAGTTTGTTTGAAAACAAAGCTAGTAGGACCAATTCTGGTGAAAGGTACCACAAATGGTTTTGTAATTTTTTGACTGCTGCTTCGGAAATCGTTTCATTCACAACTGCAAACTGCTTAAGTTGCTGAAACAGAAACAAGTCATTAACTGGAGCATCGCTGACATTAGGGCATGATATCCAAGATTTTACATAAACCAGACTAGCAAATAAGCAAAATTCACAGAGATTTTTTTCCTCTTTTGTGGTCAACTTGAACTCTTCACGAAATAAATAAATCTTAAAACAATAAATAACCTTGGCCATCCAGCGAGCCATGTGATAAGCACCAGGGATCTTGAAATGATAATTTTTCTCTTCTTGATCAGGCAGTTTTCCAAGTATTAACAGACAGAGATCCATGATTTCTTTTTAGTCATCTCTTGGCATTTTAACATGCAGGTTTTCTTTGAGGAATGCCATCACTTCATTTTGTAGTTCTTGCACCAGGGGTATTTTCATTCGAATGTCATCCAGAGGTTTAAAATTTCCTTGATTAACTTTGGGTCAATATTGCTGAAATCTCTGGAAAAGAGGTATGTTGGGACCAGATGATGGTCCAAATAGTGATCCAAACACTACTGCTACTATCATGAACATGGTGTCTGCAAGCAAAATATAACAAATTTCTACCTATATGTTTCTCTAGAACTACACATGCACCATTTTCGGAGCCAGTGTTAGAGGCTGTAGTATCAAAACTCATTCCAATAACATCACCAATTATGTCCCAGAAATTAAGCAGATGAATAACTGCTTTTGCTTGGGCTTCTCCAGTTCCAGCTGATAGTTTTGCTATTCCAAGTATTTTGTCAACATTGTGACCTGTCACACCTACAGATAGCCGGTCAACATTTGCTTTAGGGTCTGCAGAATTTGTACAATCTATCATCAGTTTGCCATCCCAGTGGACGATTAATGGTGGTTTGTCCAAATCGCAGAATTCAGTTCAAACAGTGGCTTCAATGTTTGATCGATGATAGGTTCGTTTTCTACGGACTGTAGAACGTGACAATGATCCATCATCGAGGTTCTGTCCACCAGCCCTTGCAATTGCTGCTGCTAGTATAGTAAATTTTGTGTCAGATAGATTAATTCTGTCTAATGTTGATGAAACATCAGGCGAGTCAAGAATTGTATCTAAGATACATTGTCGTTTTGGAGTACTTGCTAAACTTGATTAAGCTGACCCTGAAGAACTTGCTTTACTGACTTGTTGTCTGTAATAAACAGGGATTTCTATCTCAAAATCTCTATCAACCATTTTGTCATTATCAACAGCATCGTTATTGTTGTCATCACTATAACTTTCGTCATGTAAAGGTTCAATAACAGGAACTATTGCACTCGCACCAGATTGTCTTTGCTCTTCTTTTAGCTTTCGTTCTCTCTCTGCTTGTTTCCTTGCTTCATTTTTTGCTTCTAATTTTAAAAGTTCTTTGTCCTCTCCAGGGGAGAGGACAACATCACCTTTTTTCTCTGACATCTCTGATCCAATAAAAATTATTTATCTTCTTCAATTCTGATCATGGTTTCAGCATCCTTGTGGGCAATGTCAAAAAGTAGGCCAATGGTGTCTGTAAATGATTTCTCTCTTGATTTCTGAGAATCTGACAATCTGGATTTATTTTTTTTATTAATTTAAATTCCTGGACTAAAGTTTTCAACTTTAAGACTACATTCGGATGAAATGCTGTCGGAATATGGGCTTTATTCCAAATAATAATCAGTTCATCAACAGTTGTTTTAAGACTTTCAGGCACTGACTTTTTGGTTGAATTAAGATGATAAAAAAATGTTTTTAAAACGACAGATGTTAAGGGAAGAACTTTATCTGGAAGATTTGGCTCTGGTTGTCCAATTAAAAAGATTTCGGTTTGAAGTCGTGTAGAGATAGCAACACGAGATGATGCTGCCATTTCAATGATAACTGAAAAATTATGAGAAAATCAAAACTCAATACCATATTATACAAACTTATCATTCAGTTGTTGGTTTATGCAGCTGCAGCAATATATAATAATAATTATTACTAAAGAAATTAAATAAATATTTTCAAATTAGAAATTATTATTATCTGCACTTAAAAACAAACAATACACTACCAGACTACCATGCTAGTTTTCTGTAATAGGTTACTAAGGTTAGGTACTATCAAAATATTAATACATTTGTTGTCAAACTGAAATACCAAATAAAAATAATATTTATACTTGTAAACCTTTTTATTCTGTTTGAACAAATTCTAAATTGAGTTAAATAATAGTATTAAAATTATGAATACAAATTTTAACACTATGATATAAACACAGTTGTTTTAAACACTAGCAGACATTTTTTAGTCTGGTGCCCTGATGACAGTTAATCTGCTGCACTTTAATTAATCTATATAGCACGCAATCAGACAATATTTCAGTGGAAAAAATCTAACTAACCAGGTTCTAGAAATTTTTGGAACTTTAGAACTTTTTCCACGTTTTTGACGTTTTTTGTAAAACTTTATGGTCATTGAGCACCCCCTAAACATTATCTGATTGGAAAGATTTTTTACACAGTCAATTAATATGTCAAATGGCACAAAATAAACAATTATGCATTCAAATCCGAGAAAAATTTTTTTTCCTGTGTTCATATGAACAGCCCTAATAAATACATATATATATATATATATATATATATATATATATATATATATATATATATATATATATATATATATATATATATATATATATATATATATATATATATATATAAAAATATATATATATATATATATTTAAATAAATATTTATATATATATATATATAATATATATATATATATATATATATATATATATATATATATATATATATATATATATATATATATATATATATATATATATATATATATATAATATATATATATATATATATATATAAATATATATATATATATATATATATATATATATATATATATATATATATATATATATATATATATATATATATATATATATATATATATATATATATTTATTGTTTTGATTTAAAAAGGATTTATTTTAAAATACTACAACAACCTGAATCTGTGCAATCTGGTGGATCACAATCCATTTTTTCATTGGTTATAGCATTTAAGCAGCCATCTATACGTAAACAGGTACGAAATCTTGTTTGAAAATGGTCACTGCCAACATTTTGACAAGTTACTGAACAATTACTCCATATACTCCAATCGCTTAAATAATCTAAAGTATGATCAAGTATAAAAAGTCATTAAAAACTCTGAAATTAACAATAAATCATCGACAAAAACTTTATCAAATAGACTGTTGATATAAAAAATAAGCTGTTTAAAGACACAAATTATCAGCATAAACTTTCTTTTTTTTTCTTATTAAAGAAACTTGTTTACAAGAAAATAGTACTAAAGAGCCAAAAATCTTAAGAAACTTTTAGCAATAAAATAACTAAACATTATAAAATTTGTGAAGGAAATTTCCATTGGAATTGTCACAATACCTTAAATATAGAAACAAATAGTTTTAATAGGAAAGATAGAGAGGCGTTGGAAATACATAACAACAAAAATACCTTTCGGGACAGGGGTCCTAGTTAGGATAATAGCAATTATGTGACAACGTCATTTTGGAAACCCATATTCAAATTCATATATCACAAAAAACTCTCTTAAAAAAACTCTAAATAAGAAGCTCTTATAAAAAACATTGTTTTGTTAATATAAACGATTTCCTATAATAAAGCAGTTCTATTTTTTATAATGGTTTATAATATACTTGATAGAAAGGGCATCAATATTGCCTCAAAATAAAAAAACAAATACATTTTAAAAAAATGGATATTAAACCATAAAAAGAAGTTTTTTTTCAAATATTTATATAAATGAAATCTATTGAAGATATCAACATTTAAAACATATATAAATATATATTTATATTAAAGAAAAAAAGGATATATATATATATATATATATATATATATATATATATATATATATATATATATATATATATATATATATATATATATATATATATACATATACAGGGCTATGCAATTACAATCATATATATATATATATATATATATATATATATATATATATATATATATATATATATATATATATATATATATATATATAATATATATATATATATATACGATTATATATGTATATATATATATATATATATATATATATATATATATATATATATATATATATATATATATATATACATATATATATATATAAATATAGTATTAGTGTTAGTATTAGTTTATGCTGTGACTGGTATTGATACCAGTAAGTGTGGTTTTAAGCACACTAAGACAGCTGAATCCCGTGATGGTTTGACTCCCATGGATCAAGTTTTGCTTTGAATGAATTCGTTAAAGTAGCCCTGACAATATTTTCCGGCAGCGCATTCCAATAATTTGCAGCTCGATTAAGCAAAATATTTTCTCTATACTTATGTACTGAAAATTCTTTAGATTATTATCAGGCTATGGCTATGAGTACAATATGATTTAAATGAATAAATTTCTTTAAATTCAACTTTATCATAATCTTTGAAAATTCTCTATAGTTGTATAATGTCTCCTTGTTGTCTTCTTTTAATAAGTGAGGGTATTTTAAGATAAGCAAGCCGATCTTCATAGCATTATTTACTGATTTGAGGTATTAGTTTAGTGGCACGACGCTGTACTTTTTCGAAAATGATTATTTCTTGTTTTGGATAAGGAGCCCATACTAGTATAGCAAACTCAAGTAGCAGTCGAACAAATGAAAGATATAGGGATTTAAGCAGTTCAGCATCAAATCGAACAAAAGATTTTTTTATTATGCCCAACATGCAATTAGCTTTGCTTGCAATTGATAATACTTGATTTTTTCACATCAAGTTATCTAAAAAAATCACTCCTAGGTCCCTTTCTGAATCTGATGTATTGAGTATACAACCATTTATATAAATTGGATATCTCTTATTTTTATAGCCATAGTGCATAACTAGACACTTTTCAATATTAAAACTAAGCAGCCAGTCTTGTGTCCAAGCATATGCAGAGTTTAAATCGCAATGTAGTTTATTATGTAACTCATCAGAAGAACTAACTGACATGATTTTTGTGTCATCAGCAAAAAATTTTGAAATATTTTTCAGAGACTCTGGAAGATCATTTATATAGAGTATAAAAAGTAGTGGACCCAATACTGAGCCTTGGGGAACTCCGCTGTGCACCTCAGCCCAAGTTGAAACATAATCTCCTATAATGACTCTCTGCCTTCTATTAGATAAGAAAGCTCGAAACCAATCAAGTGCCAAGCCACTAACACCATATGCTTTAAGTTTTGAGATAAGCCTTTGATGGGGAACACTATCAAACGCTTTTTTAAAATCAAATAAAACTATATCAACAGGAATTCCTTGATCAACATTTCTTGTAATATAATTTAAAGTTTCAAGTAAATTTGTCGTACATGACCTGATTTTAACAAACCCTTGCTGTTGATTAGCTATAATATTATTTTCATAAAGATATTTTTCTAACTTTCTTTTTATTATGCCTTGAAGTATTTTAAAAGTAATACAAGGTAGTGATATAGGTCTATAATTTCCAGAATCAGTCTTGTCACCTTTTTTATATAGTGCAGTTATATTTGCTGAATTAAATTGATTTGGTAGTTGACTTTTTTCTATTGATTTCATAAAAATTGTTGTGAGAGGAAGAGCAAAGGCAATAGCACAGTTTTTCAATATAGATGGATGTAACTTGTCAACTCCATACGCTTTGTTTTGATCAAGATTATTTAGCCTTTCAAGGACATCATTATAATGGATATCTTCAGAAGATAGATTAAAGGTGTTATCAATGATTCTATTTTTAAATAATGGAGTGCACTTATTATTTTCTTTGACAAAAACGTTTTGAAAATTTATGTTCAGTAGATCATCAATCTTTTCTGAATCTTGAGTTATTTCACCGTTTGGTTGTCTCAGAGCTTTTATAGAGTCTTTAACATATTGTTGTAAATTTATATATCTATATAATAGTTTTGGGTTCTTTTTAGCTTTATCAACAATCATTAACTCATACTTTCGTCTTGCTATGGAAATTTCAAATGACACTTTTTTTGATAATTCTTTATATTGTTTACAAAGATTTGAGTTTTTCCATAAATTTCCATTTACTTGAACAATTTCTGTATCTTAAGTTTCGTTTTTCTCTAATGAGTGAGATTAATTCTTTGGTAAGCCACGGGTTCCTTGATGACGAATTTACAAACAAAGTGTTAATAGCTACATATAAGTTACATGCTTCTTCAGTGTAATGAATTAACTCGTCATACATTTCTTGAACATTTTTGGCATGAAAACATTGAAGTCAATCAACACTTGTAAGGAAAGCACTAATACTATTATAATCTGCTTTTCTATATAAAAATTTATTTCCTTCTGTATTTACATTCATTGTTTTGTTTTTAAGAATAAAATCAAAACACATTATTAAATGACCTCTGTATAAGTTATATTTGCAGACTGAGTAGTGAATATTAAATCTAAAATGTTAACAGCAGATTTATTTGTTGTTTGAAAGGTTGGTAAGTTTACATGCTGATATAGGTAATTGTCATTTATTATTTGATAGAAAACATGCTCAATATCTGATGATCCTTTAATAGAGTTTATAGAACCATTGGACCAACTTATCCCAGGAAAGTTAAAATCACCAACTATAATAAGATCTTTGAAACCTTTTTGGTCAACATATTCTCTTGCATTTTTAAATACGTTTTTAATATCTGTCATATCCGTGAAATCATAAGGTCTATAAATACATCCAAAAAGATATTTATCATTGACAAATTGGATTACAGCCCAGACATGTTCTATTTGACTTTATGTAAACGTATTATCGTTAAGTTCATATGAAGTAATTTTAGCATCAATATAAATACATACACCTCCACCTCGACGACCATCACATCTATCTTTTTTATATAAACAATAACCCTCCAAATTGCAGAGAAAACTAGGTTTGAACCATGTTTCAGTAATGCTAATAATTTTAGGATTGTAAATTGCAACTACTAATTTAAATTCATCAAATTTGTTGTCAAGAGATGTGGCATTAAGGTACATGCAACTTATTTTTTCAATATTATTCATAGATAACAGACAATTAGCCTTACTGCCTAACTTCGATTGTTTTTTTTTTAATTTTTGTATCTGACTTCCACGGATACCATACCAAAAGGGGTCTGTCTCTTTAAGGGCATTATTAAGTTTATTTCGCTCAGTTCTGAGAATGAAATCCTGTTGACGTTCAGCATCTGGAGATATTTTTAAATCTTGGAAGCAATTTTAATTTTTTTGATGAAATTAGTATTTTGTTTCTTAAATTGGAATCAGCCAAGTAAACCAACAAAGGACTTGGCTTGTCAGAATTTTTACTTCTTAATCGTCTCACATTCTCAAATTTTATGTCTTGAACTTCGATTTCTGTAAATATTTGAAACACTTTTGCTTTATTTTCAGCTATTTTATCATCTAAAGAAACTTTATCTGATTCTGCCACTCCATAAATAAAAATATTTTTGGCTCTCTTTTTACGCTCATTTAACTCATTTATAGTAGAATTTGCTATAAAAAGTGGATCGTTTGGCTTCTTAGCTTCTTTTCCTGATTTTTGAACTTAAATCCAGTCATTAGTGTTCGATTGCTTGACTAAAGAGCTAGTTTGTGCAATGTCAATTTTTAAATGACTTACTAATTCTACATTAACCATTTTCTCTGACTCTAATTGTTGCAAGCGGTCATACTTTAGTTTTTCGTTCCTCTCAATATTATTTATCCGATCAGAAAGCGATAACAGAAATTATGAGATTTTACCACACCATTCGTGCAATATTTTTGAAGTTGCTAAATGGTTTCCTTGACCAAAGACTGGCCAGTTTTCTACTGCCAAAAATTGACAGTCCATTGTTTGATATAGGAGGGCTACCACCCTTTACAGTGGATTACCTCCTGGTTGAAAATTATTATCTTATTACACAGGGACTTATTGACACAAATACTTATTACACAGGGACTAAAAAGTTTCAGTATGTGTTTTTTTCCGTATATATATATATATATATATATATATATATATATATATATATATATATATATATATATATATATATATATATATATATATATATATATATATATATATA